GAAGAAGAGAAAAGCAAAGACTGGAGGTTAGTTAGTGGGGTAGTGGGTTCCAGGAAAAGAGAATTAAATTAGTGGCAAGAAAAAAAAAAATAGCCTGGAATGAGGCTGACCCAGAGACAATCTTTGGGACCAAATCTTGAGCACTGCCAAGAGTCACTCCTGAGCGTCGAGTCAAACTGTCCCTGAGCACTGCAGGGTCAAAAACCAAAGCAAATAAATAAATAAATAAATAAATAAGAAAATACCTTATCTGGGGGACCTGATCAGAGAAAATGATCCCAAGCAAAATGAGTTGTTTTGTTTTGTTTTGCCTTTTTGGGTCACACCTGGCAATGCACAGGGGTTAGTCCTGGCTTCGCACTCAGGAATTACTCCCAGGGTAAGGTATTTGCTTTGCACACAGCTGACCCGGATTTGATTCCCAGCATCCCATATGGTCCCCCAAGCACTGCCAGGAGTAATTCCTGAGTGCAAAGCCAGGAGTAACCCCTGTGTGTAACCTGTGTGTAACTGCCAGGTGTGAACCAAAAAGCAAGAAAAAAAAAAGAGTTTCTTTAATCCCACAATCTCCTTCCTGAGGAGGAATCGTTCTTTTGGTTTCCTCTTCTGCTTGACTACAATTCAATTATTGATTTGAGTTCATAGACCTCACTCTGGCTTTAGGGCTATCGGCCACAGATGCATGAGATGGCTGAGTTCAACTAAGAAAAAACTTCCCACGAGACTGGAGGGAAAGTTCAAAGAGTTGGAGCACAGACTTTGGGGGGAGGTGGGTTTTGATCCCCGCTGGCACTGAGGAGGTGGGGGTGGGGCGGGGTGGTAGCTGGGAATGTGGTTAGCCCTAAGCACCACCAGGTGTGCCCTGAAGGACAAACCAAAACCAACTTCCAACACTCCCTTGTGGAACTTAACATCAGCTTGGGTAGAGAGTCAGCTTGGAAAAAGAGTGTTGGAAGGACACAGGAGTGGCCGCATGTGAGCAGCCTGAGAGTGTGAAAGAGCCAGAAAAGGGGGTGCCCATGGGAGGGATACTGGGACCCGTGGTGGTGGAAAATGGGCACTGGTGGAGGGATGGGTGTTTGATCATTGTACAATTGAAAACCAAAGCACAAAAATTTGTAAATCTACAACTGTATCTCATGGTGTTTCACTAAAAGAAATTAAAAAAAAAAAGAAAGAAAAGGGGGTTCCCAGGGAGCAAAGTGGGGAGAAAAGAAATATGGACTGACCGTCGGCCACGGAGGAGCAGCTAAGGCAGCTAAATCTGGACCCACTGGAAGACACGTCTGCGGCCACTTCAAAGTACCCTGCACTCGGGTGCAACAAAGAACATCACCCTGTTGTCCGGAGAGACACAGGAAATCAGATACTGACAGATAGGAACTGTGAGCAGCTTCTCTAGAGTTGGTATGGGTTCTTTTTTTTTTTTCAAACTACAGTACTTTTTCTCTCTCTGCACCCCCCCCCCCAAAAAAAGGCTTCTTCTTTTTCTTCTACTTTTCACATTATGGCTCCCAAGATTCGGACTACAGAAATCTGGCCGCCGCGCTGCCCACACTGCCTGGGCTGGTCTCACCCGGGTTAAAACGCTGCTTCTGCAGGGCGGTTGAGAAGTGCTCCACATTCCACATAACAACCAACTTTCATTCATATGCTGAGGTTAGCACGTAGAGTGTTTTTGCCTTGCACGTGGCCAACCCAGGTTCGATCCCTGGCACCCCATTGGGTCCCCAGAGCCCCACCCAGAATGATCCTTGAGCACAGAGCCAGGATTAAGTCCTGACCATTGCCAGGTCAAAAAAAAAAATTAATGACTGGTTCTAAGTGTCAATCACTTTACTAAGACTCAACTGCAAGATGAAATGGCATGAATGAATGGTCTGTCTCCCTGTTTCTGAGGAACCAAGGGATTCCTAAATTCCTGGAGAACAGGTGGCCATCTCTAGTCTCACCTCCTGCGACAGTTTCATGCTTCCTCTGTAATCATAGGATGTGGGCAAGTTCTCCGTCATGCTAAGAGGGAGAGCGTACCAGCCCCCGCCTCCACCACCAATTCTCCTCTGCCACCTCCCTACAGACCAGAAGGTGGAGACTTTGTGGGAACCCTCTCTGAGTGATACAATAAAATGTAGTGCCTGGACCCCATTAGACTTTCTGGAGCAAACCCCAGGGCCAGCTGAGGCTTGAACAACCCTGCATTCCCCTTCTGGCTGGTTTAAGTCTGTTACATGAATCCCACATGACCAAATCTGTAGCTTCAATAACTAAAACCCCCCAGTCCTGCCAATCCCTGTTCTCAACAAACACTAAAGGAATTTCTGCTCCACTTCAAATACACTTCCATCTTTTTATTTAGTGAAAGGATCACTGTCACTGTCACTGTCCTTCTGTTGTTCATTGATTTGCTGGAGCGGGCCCACTAACCCCTCCATTTTGAGACTTGTTACTGTGTTTGGCATATCGAATACATCACGGGTAGCTTGCCAGGCTTTGCTGTGTGGGCGAGATACTCTTGGTAGCTTGCCAGGCTCTCCAAGAGGGGCAGAGGAATCAAACTCGGGTCGGCCATGTTGGCTGCATGCAAGACAAACTCCTACCCACTGTGCTATCGCTCCAGCCCAGTGAAGGATAGGATAGTCATAATTGTTTCTGATTTAAATAACTGAACTGCCAGCCCAGGGAAATGCTCAGAGGGCAGAAAGCCTTACCTGTGGAAGCCTTGAGTATGTGCCCTGGTATTGCATGACTCCTGAGAAAGAGCACCACCGTTGGGAGCAAACTCCCAAGTGCTTCACTGGGAGAGACCCCCTAAGCACCACCAGGTGCAGCCCCAGAGCCAACATCATAATGATGATAGTTGCAGGGTTGGAGTGATAGTACAGGAGGTAGGACACTTGCATCACACACAGCTGACCCAGGTTCGATCCCCAGCACCTGGTATGGTTCCTGGAGCATCATCAGGAATTTTTCCTGAGTGTAGAGTCAGGAGTACCGCCAGGTGTGACCCCAAAACCCAATTACAACATTTTTTTTTAAATTACAGTTTCTATCTGAAGATTTTGAAGGGAAGGAGGGAGAGAAAATGTGTGTGTGAGAGAGAGAGAGAGAGAGAGAGAGAGAGAGAAAAGAGAGGGGAGAGCAATGTGCTCCATCCAAAGTAAACCCGGGCTTCTCTGAGGGCAGAGAGAGCCCCTCCACATATCCCAGCATTAGACATGAAAGCATGAAAGTACACATCTCAAGAGGGTCGATGTGGGCGACCACAGGTGCTTCGCCACATGGGCACAAGCAGCACATGGGCTCAGGGAAGCGCATGCACCAAATTAAAAAAATTTTTTTAAATAATAATTGCACTGCCAGACCACTGCAAATTTTGTAGATTTTTATTTTTTACTGTAAAAACTTTTTTTAGATTTCAAAATTGGTTAGGTTATAATTGTCAAGTAAAAACTAGCCCTGTATTTGTTTTTTTTTTACACATTATATAAACTTTGAGAAATAAATAGTGTCCTACATGTTTGTTTAAAAAAAAAAGAAAAGAAAAAAGGCTTCACCGTATACAAATAAGACTTCCAAGCCAAATGGATAAATACAGGACCCAATGTGTACTGGACCGTCCCCACTTGCATCACTGAAAACAGAAGTCTCAGTTAGGACGGACAGCACAAGTGCTTTCTGACTGGAAACAGCCCCCGAAGCCTTAGGGGAAATACACCATCAGCTTGAGGGTTCCCAGAGGTTAAGACTCAACTGGTTCTGTCTGCAGAAGTTTGGCTTTGAATAATGATACAGCTTTGGCACTATACAGATCAATGCGACATCCTTTACCAGCCTAAGAACAAAGAAAATTGTCTCCTGCCACCCCGCCCCACCCCTGCGTGCACACACACACACACACACACACACACACACACACACCAAAAATGATATCACTTTTCCTCCAAATAATCTCATCCATAAAAAGCCCATCCCTTGATTCGGCTAGTGCCGGTTATATATTAATAAAAGGGGTTGGGGTTTTATTGGGGAGCTCTGGGGAAGTTGCGTGTTTGCCCTAGAAGGGGCAGAGTAATGGCAAGGGCTGAAAAGTCTAAGGGAAGGAGCAGGGGGAGCTGTCGGTGGACTTTGCCTGCAGGAAATGTGGGAGCGACCGCCACTAACCAGTCCCAGGAGCGTGGCCCAATCTCACTCACAGCTCGGATTTCTGCAACAGACACATAAAGTGGCCCTACCTGCCTCCTCTCAGGCCAATCAGCAGACGCTGCGTGTGCAAAATGCCCAGAAGTTATCAGAAGGGCTGCTCAAACGTCACACATATTCATTCCAATCAAAGCCAGAGACTGGGGGTGTTTCCCTGTTTTTGTTTTTTGGGTTTTGTTTGTTTGTTTGTTTGTTTGTTTGCTTTTTGGGTCACACCCGGTGATATACAGGGGTTACTCCGGGCTCTGCACTCAAGAATTACTCCTGGTGGTGCTCAGGGGACCCTAGGGGATGCTGGGAATCAAACCTGGGTCAGCCACATGCAAGGCAAATGCCCTCCCTGCTGTACTATCGCTCCAGCCCGGGGGTGTTTCCATAAAGTTGAACCCAGAAAAGGCACAGGAGCAAGAAAGTCCAAGGAGGAGGAAAATGACAGTGTGAACTCTTAAGTCTCGGCTCTGCTGGGCAAGGGCGGTTGTGGATGGCCCAGAATGTGTGCCTAGGGGACACTGCTACACAGAAGAGACCCTGGTCAGCAACCACCACTATCCCGGTCCCAAGGGGGCCTGATATGTTGCTGATGACTTGTGACTCTTTGGGGACCCTGCTCCCAGGCCTGGCTTGCCTTTCAACAAAAGTGCACTCACCGAGCATGAAAGCTGGCAAGAGTGGAGAAACCTCAACCCCATTGACTGTCCAAATGAGGAAATAGCCCCAGGGGCTTTAAAGATGCACCTCAGGTGAAGTGTGAAGTAATTTTTAAGTATTTGACATGCCCAGTCCGGGAGTGAGTAATTAGCTGGTGTGTACTTTGGAGAGCAACTTGGTCTACAGGACAGAATGTCTTGAGAGGAACCGAAAAGGGACAGGAGAAACAATACAATGGGTAGGGAATGTGCCCTGCACGCAGCCAACCCAGGTTCAATCCCTGGCACCACATGTGGTCCCGTGGGCTGGTCAGGAGTGCTCCCTGAGCACTAAGCCCTAGGCACAAGCTGGGTGTGGTCCGAACACCTGATCAGTGCAGCCCATTGAGTCCCAACAACAAATGCATCGGGGCCCCTGAAGTCCTGAGGTCCCAGCTCCGCATAAGCCCTTGGCGCAGCTCAGGTGGCCCCACACCACACATTGGCTCATCCAGTCTCTGAGTGACCAGCAGGGGCAGGAGGGGCAGTGAGGGGCCGGGCCAGTGGCCAGCCACACTCAGATCTGGAGACAAGCTGTTCGAGAGGCGGAACTTTCAGCAGGACGGGTCCTCGCCAGCAGGCAGCTCACTGCTCCAGCGTCCGGCCGAGGGGCAACGGCCCTCTGGGGCTCCTGGGCAGTAACTTTCCTCCACAGGCACAGAAGGTAGGCGATCAGGGCAGGTCCAGGGGTGGGCTGGAAGGAAGGAGCACGGAAATGGTGTGTGGGTGCGCCTGCTTGGCAAGCCCGCCAGCCCCCACCATGGGTGCTCTGCTCCCCTCCAGGGCAAGCCTCATCCACTCTCAGGACCCCTCCTAACTCCCCCTTCAGAAGAAATGGGGGGGCTGGAGTGATAGCACAGCTGGTAGGGCGTTTGCCTTGCATGCAGCCGACCCGGGTTTGATTCCCATGGTCCCCCGAGCACCGCCAGGAGTCATTCCTGAATGCAGAGCCAGGTGGAACCCCTGAGCATCGCCTGGTGTGACCCAAGAAGCAAAAAAAAAAAAAATAAATAAAGAAGAAATGGAAAATCGCCCAGGGCCTCCATGACACAACCCATGCCCAAGGCCACGCCACAGCTCGCTCACGGCTCCTGGGGTCTACACTGCAGGGCACCCCAGTTACGTTCTCAGCATGGCACTCACTGTAGCACACACTTGCATACGTGTACATGTGTGTGCATATACACACATCAACACGTGCTCATACACTAACACATGCACACGCATGCTCACAAGGTAATGAGGGGAAGAAATCATTGTGGGTGCTCTCTACCTTGATCTAGAAATAATCGAGAGACTAGAGTGTGGCCAGGAGGGGCGGCCAGAGAGGCGCTGGATTCTCTCTGGACCCCGACTAGCCTGCACACTGCTTCCCTCTGGCGCCTCCTCCCCTCTTGCAGAGAGAACACTCCACGGTGATGCAGCCCCGGGCACCCTCAGGCTCCGACCCCCTGGGCTTCCAGCTCAGGCGGTGAGGGTGACTAGCATTCGCAACAGTTACAAAGTTCTGGTGGGAATGTAGAAGAAACGATCTTTTAATTATAACAAGAAGGAAAAGGAGCTGCAGAGATAGTACCGGGGTAAGGCGCTTGCCTCACACAGCCGACTGGGGGTTTGATCCCCAGCATCCCATATGGTTCCTCAAGCACCGGCAGGAGTGATTCCTGCATGCTGAGTCTGGAGTAACGTCGGAGCATCTCTGGGTGTGCCCCCCCACCCACCAAAACAATAAGTAAATAAATAACAAGAACGGGCTGGGGAATTAATACAGCAGGGAGGGTGCTTGCCTTGCAAAGGTTCCATTCCTGGTACCCCACAGTGATCCCTGAGCACTGCCAGGTGTGGCCCCAACAGAAAACAAAAAAACAAACCAAGAGGGGCTGGAGCAATAGCATTGTGGGTTGGGTGTTTGCCTTGCATGCAGCCGACCCAGTTTCAATTCCCAGCATCCCATAGGGTCCCCCGAGCACCGCCAGGAGTAATTCCTGAGTGCATGAGCCAGGAGTAGCCCCTGTGCATTGCTGGGTATGATCCAAAAAGAAAAAAATAAAATAAAATAAAAAACAAGAATAATGAGGGTACTGTTTGCCAGTGCTGGGGGTTTGCCAGTGCTAGAGGTGGACCCGAGGTGCCAAGGGGACAGTGGTAGAGGGTAAGTTGGTGGGCGTGTTGGTGGCGGAAAAGGGGTAGTAACTTTGGACATAGATGCTTTGGACATCAATAGCATTTAAAGCTATTGTAGCCATGTTACCTAAAGTGCAATTGTATAATTGTTTCGATAAAAATAGCTATGAAATGGCTAAGAATAGAGATATTTCCTGGGCATGCCCAGTCTCTCAGGGCTGTTCTGGGGCTCAGTGATGTTACGGAGGCAGGGGAGGCACGGGGCGAGACGCACATTCTGGCACCCCAAATTTCAAATGATGTTTAGAGGGGAGATCACTGCCCCTGCCCTAGACTGAGTCCCATAATCAGACGGGAGCAGAACCCAGCACCCCACAGTCCTGTGGGCATGCGGATGGCCCTGAACAGGACACAGAGCAGCTGTGCCGGTGTCGGACCCCACCCCAGCTGGCAGACGGCTAATCACAGGGGACCCAGCCCAGGCGCAGCTCAGCTGCTCCATAATTGATACCGGGGCAAGGTGAGCCGGCAGCTGGGCCGGCGGGACCTCCGTGCACCTGCGTGAAAGCATGGGCTTGCGGGAAACTCACTGTCCCCTCCTCCCACCGCCCTGCCCTGACCTCCCATGCCTCGGTTTCCCCAACTGCACCCAGGTCAGTGCCCCTGCAGCCCAGATAGGTGGATGGGCCTAAACTCCTCACGCCTCACAAGACAGAAGACGGGACTCCAGCCTGGGGCTGCGAGGGGCGAGCAAGGAGGCTCTCCACACTCACACCCAGTCACACCAAGTGGGTTCCAGAAGACCCCCAATGGGCTCGTGCTTCGTGCTGCTCTCACTCTCTCACTCCCACTCCACTCAACCCAATTTCCAGGACATCCAGAGTTCTAGAAACTTCCCACTGAGTCAGCCATGGCAGAGAAGCTTAGTTTCAGATGGGGGGGGACAGGGCAGGGTGGGGTGCGGGGAGATAGCATAGCAGGTAGGTGGTTGCCTTGCAGGCAGACAACCCAGGCTCGATCCCCGGCATCCCAGAGGGTCCCCCAAGCCCACTAGGAGTAATTCCTGAGTGTGGAGCCAGGAGTAACCCCTGAGCATCGCCAGGTGTGGCCCAAAAACCAACTCACCCCAAAAATATAAGATGGGGGAAGCAGCACTCGGAAACGGAAAGACCCCACTCCAACAGCCCAGGGCAGGGGCAAGGCAATACAAGGTTCCCCTCCCCCACCCCCACCCCCACCCCCTACACATTAGCTTCATATCCCAGGTCTCCTGAGCTCAGTTTCCCCCGGGGAGGAAATGCCACCTACTCTTTCCCAAGGATGTCCCAAGTGTCCCGCCCCCTGTCCACACTCGAGGACTCTCACCACAAGCTGCACAGACTGGTGGAAGCAAAAGCCCCGTTACCTGGTTTCATTCTTCGTCCTCCAGCCTTCCTGGCACTTGTGAAACCAGAGCTCCCGGCCTGGGCCGATGTTGGTGGTCTCAGGGTCTTGGGCGCAGAAAGTCAGCCTAGGAGGGAAGAGGGATGGCTATGGCCAGCACTGCAGGGCCCTGGTGCAGGGCGTGCCCACCAGGCAGAACTCTGGAGGCCAGAGCAAGTGGAAGAGGGTTCTCATGGGGCCACGCTGATTCCAGAACCACAAGGACCCCCAGAACACTCTTCCCACAGGCACCCTACACCTGGCCTCCCCCAAAGTCCCCAAACATCATTGAGGGGGTTGGGCATAGCCTGGGGTTGAATTCCAGGCAATACACATGCATATCCTGCACTCACTGCTCATCCACCCCATCCCCTTCTGTCCAAAAGGCTGACTGCTGGTGCTCCCACCCGCCTAAGAAGCTCCTACAAATGTCCCTTCTGTAACTGCCCTTTCTTTAGGGTATGGAATCCTTTGTGACGTTAGGGCTCCACCGTCACATACTCTCTACACTCAGATTCCTACGTCCACAGCAGACGCTAAACTCAGAAGGTGGCAGAACCCAGGAGCTCGTAAATACATGAACAAGTGCCACTGAGCTCGGAGAATCAGCGATGAGCCAGCCAGGATGGGGCAGAGGCCTGACAACCACCACGACTAGAACATGCAGCCAAGTCAGTGGACTGCCCCAGCCTCAGTGGTGGGCAAGCGAGCATGAGTCCAACAGATGTGGGGCACCCCTGACCCCAGGGCTGCTGGACACTAGCCACGTCCCAACAGCACAAAGAACTTCTCCAGGAGGTGATAGTCCATTAGGTACCATCAGGAAATGCAAATTAGAATAAGAGCAGAGATGGGGCCAGAGCGATAGGACAGCGGGTCGGGCACTTGCTCCGCTGACCCCAGTTCCATCCCTACCACCTTCCCAAAAGGTCCCCTGAGTCCACCAGAAGCTACTCTACCTGAGTAGCAGAAGCAGGAAAAAATCCCTGAGCACCGCCAGGAGTGGCCCAAACACCAAACCAAACCAAACCTAAAAATTAGAAGAGCAGAGGACCAATCCCGCCCGACAGAATGCCCAGAAGTTCCCAGGAGATGGGAAGAAGGAAGGTGATAGAACAACTTTCTCTGGAGTCAAGACTCAAGACTGGCCCCAACAGTTCAGAGAGCGCTGCCAGGAGTCACCCCTGAGCGCTGCTGGGTGTGGCCCCCAAGGCAAAAAAATAAAAAAATAAAAATGCAAATGCACGACTCCTCACATTGTTGCACCCAAGTGCTGAAGCCACGAAGGCTTGCAAAGGAAAGAGTACCCCAAGGGCATGGTGGACCCCAAGGGCATGGTGGACCCAAGCCCCCAGAGGGTCCCAGACACTCACTTCTGCTGCGTTTCTCCAGACTTGACCCGGATACGCCTGATACTCAGCTCCCGCCCCAGACGGCGGGGTTGGGACAGGTAGCTGCGAAGCTCCTTCCACAGGTTGTACCAGGACTCAGAGGCACCCTCCCAGCTGAGTTTGATCTTCAGAAGGTCACCCAGGTCCTCCTCGGTGTAGACCAGGAAGGTGTTGGTGGCATTCAACCCGATCTTCTCCACTCTGTAGGGCAAGAGAGAAGCTGGTCTCGCTCCCACCCACCAGGACCCCCAAGGTGATATGGGGGCCGACCTCACCGTGACCGGAGAGACACGAGCAGGTAGGTCCTTCCCTAGCTCAGGGCTTCACCACCCCCAAGCCGGGTCAGGGCGGTGCTCAGCTGTGCCCTCTCGCACCCTCTCCAACCACCGAGAGCCTCTGCCCCCCATCTGAGGCTTCCAGGGGGAGCAGGACAGGGAGCAACAAGCCCCATTTTACCCAGAAGCCCTAGTATCTGCCTCTTGGGGGCCCCTGCCCCCTCATCTGGCACTTGCAGTCTCCACCTGGCCCTGGGCACACACACACCGGATCTGCCACCTAGCCCCTGAACACTGAAAGCAAGCGTTGGATGACATGACTTCAATTTCCCAGCACAGCTCCACATAGCACTAAGTACCCGCATGTGCAGGGGTCGGGATTATAAACAATGGGTAAAGCATTTGCCTTGCATATGGCTGAGCCAGGTTCTATCCTGGGCATCCCATATGGTCCCCCGAGCACCATCGAGGCTAATTCCTGAGTGCAGAGCCAGGAGTAACCCCTGGCATCACTGGATGGGACTCCAAACCCAAAAACAAACACATCAACAAAACCCAGGCAGGCAGCTCAGGCTTCCCCAACATCAGCGCTTGGGAGGTACATGTGGAGTCAGTCCTCGCTGGCCCAGAGCTGTAGCTGACAGGCGGAGGCTACACCGAGAGGCGGTTCTGAAGTCTGACCCAGCAGCTTCGCGTGCTGTGATTCAATGGGCAGCTTCCAGCCCAGCACAGCTCTGAGTCAAGGGCTTGATCTGGCACACTCAGGAGCACCCCAGCTGGGATGACGCCCTGCCTCCCCATCAGCCCACCCTGCCCGATGCCAAGGGGAGACGGTCCCACTCTGGCTGTCAACCCCCTGAGCGTGCCTCCTTCCTGGCCCCATCCCCCCCCGTCCTGAACCCAGCCCAGGAGCCAAGTGGCTTACATCTCCAGAGGCAGCACCTGGGAGTCGGCATTGGTGCCATAAAGGGTCACGTAAAAGCTGGGCTCGATTTCCGCCGTGTGCTGGTAGCTGAAAATGTGGATCTTCAGCTGATAATGGTAAACTGTGGGGACAACAGGACATGGATGTTTGGGAGCCTTGTTCCATCTCTCAGGACCCCCTCCCCGCCCCCCCACCTCGGCCACAGACTCCGTTGAACCCAGCCCACAGAACTTGCAGGGAACCACCGTATTTCACTGGATAAGTGTCCCAGATCTGATACCAAATTTTGGCCCCCAGATAGGGTTTAACCATTATCTGACCTTTTTTTTTTTAATTTAGGGGGTTGATATTTCTGGTCTTGGTGTACACAGTGACCTCAGTCCACCACGTCCACCGTGTCCGTGATTCCCCCCCCCCGCCATGTTTCTGGGTCAGCTCTGGTCCACTTATTCCCCTTAATCTGGTGCTCTCGGTCTGTACTCTAGTACCAGGCTTTGTTACCGACACTCTATGGCCTTGATCGAGTTCCCCCACACTCTGTGGCTTTTCCAAAGTTTCACTACGAAATATTGAAAGGAAAAAAAAAGGGGTGCCACAAGTATTCTGGGATAGCTGGTATATCCCTCGGGCCTAACCCAGACTCCTGCCCCTGCCCCCTTCTCCCCAATGGCATCCCACTTCACCAAGGCCGGAAGACTTGGGGGAACCCCGAGGAACTCAGATCCAGTCACCCTGAGCTCAGAACCGAGATATCGGGCTCAGCTTCAAATACCACACATAGAGCACCCAGCAACCAACGGGTCCTACAGCCAAGAGCCGAGCTCACCCCGTGAGCCTCCCAGGCTCCCGCCTGAGATTTACTGGGAAACTCAACTGGGAAAACCAACGCTGTGATGGAGACACAACAACTCACAGCACAGAGGGGATACCCAGCAGTTACCGGGGCCCAGGGCCTCATACCCACAAGGCCTGTGCCCTGTGCCTTTGAGCTGTCTGCCCGCCCATCCCACACATATCCCCGATTTTTAGAGATAAGTTTCCCCGCGGGCAGGCAGTCTGGTGTGATCCACAGTGTTGGATGGAGCTGTGCCAGGCTCCCCTTTGGGCTGGGATGAGTCCTGGGGAACCCCATGGAAGGAAGGCAAAGGTGGTTCATGGGGATGCTGTGGGGACCCAGGGTCACCTCTGAAAGGCATGCCGGCCCGGGTTTTCAGGTACATTTTGCTGTTCCTCTTGTTCCTCATCTTCTTGGCGTTGTAGCCAATGCTGTTGCAGCGGTTCTTGCGGCAGCTGAGACAGATGCCCTTCTTGAAGCGGTTCGGGTCCGTGCACTGGAATGCAAAGCTCGGCTTGTCTTCGTTCACCAGGGAGTCCACGAAGAGGTGGACAGCCCGCTCGTGCTCACACTTCACCACCTCGGCCAGGGCTGAAAGGGGGAGATGGAGAAGGGGCAGAGTTGGCCACTTCTGGGTCAGGCACCCACTCCGGAGCCCAGGAGGACACTCAAGAATTGAAGACTTGGGGCCGAGGCAATAGTACAATGGGTAGAGTGTTTGCCTTGCACACAGCCAACCAGGGTTCAATCCCCAACATATCCTATGTCCCCCAGCACTGCCAGGAGTGATTCCTGAGTGCAGAGCCAGGAATGACCCTTCAGCATCATCGGGTGTGACCCCAAAAAAGGTGTGACCCAAAAAAAGGAAAAAAAAGTTCTAGGTGGAGGCTGGAGAGATAATACTGGGGTTAACGCACAAGCCTGGCATGCGGCTGACCCCAGTTGGAGCCCTGGCACCACAGGGTCACCCAACCCCAACCCCCAAGCATCACCAGGTGCAGCCCTGGAGGCTTCTGAACACTGCAGGGTTCAAACATTGAACTTCTGGTCCAGTTGGTTCAGATACTCATGGAGGAACCCCCAGGCCTCCTGAGCACTGCTTGGAAGACACTCCCCACTATCACCAACGCCCGCCCCCCTCCCCCGCTATCCTCACCAGTCCAACAAGTGCCACCATCCCTTTTCCCTGTATGGACCACCAGGTCCTGCAGGATTACTTGGATATCCCAAGGTGAGGTAAAAATGGTAGCATGGGGCTGAGGGCAGTGTCGATGCAGGGAAAGGGCCTGCGCCAAGATCTGAAACTGCTGCCTGACCCAAGACGATGAAGAGATAAGCCTGCAGAGGGACAGATGTCTGGGCCCCCACCTCAGGCTCAGTAGCAAATGCAGTTCAGCCCAAGTCAGCTGCGAGTTGGCTCAGGCATTCTGAAGACAAGTTATGAGCAAAAGGACAAGGCATCTTGCTTTTACATCTGTGAAATATTGCAAACTTAGGGAGGTAGCTCAGCAGTCGAGCACTTGTCTCACATGTGTGAGGCCCTGGATTGGATCCCCGACACCAAAGAACTGTGATGAAAGTTAAATTATAGTGCATGCAAGACGTGCACTACCGTGAACATTGAGAAAACATCACAGATATAGATCTACATGCCTAATATTTAAGAATATCCACTTATTTTTGCCGGAAGACAAAATGTCAGTACAGCTTAACCTGCAATTTAGGAAATAATCTCTTCTTGGAAAAATGTTAAAGTACGTTTCTGAGCTACACCTGAGATAACGACCATGAGCCCGCCATAGGGCTCACACCCTGATTCACTGAAAATCTGGATGCCTCGTTAATTCCCCATTTTGCCCACTTCCTCATGTAATCAATTATAAAAAGCTAGCTTGGGAGAAATAAATTTGGAGCTTGATCAGAGTCTTGTCTTGCTCCCATTTGTCTGTCTCTCTTTTTCCCCACTCATGTACCCTCTCCCGGTTATCCACGTTGACTAGTCCCGCGGGTTAGGACAGGTGGCATTCAATGTCTCCATTCATTCCAGCCCTGAGATTTTAGCAGCCTCTCCTTACTCGTCTTTCTCAACACTGCTGTATTGGAGACTCTTTCAGGGTCAGGGAATGAGTTCCGTTATTGTTACTGTTTTTGGCATATCGAACACACCACGGGTAGCCAAGATATATAAAGATATATATATATATATATATATATATATATTTCCCTCTATGATGGGCTGGAGCGATAGCACAGCGGTTGGGCATTTGCCTTGCGTGCAGCCAGCCCAGCTAAGCTGGGTTCGATTCCTCTGCCCCTCTCGGAGAGCCTGGCAAGCTACTGAGAGTATCTCACCTGCACAACAAAGCCTGGCAAGCCACCCGTGACATATTCGATATGCCAAACACAGTAACAAAATGTCTTCATTTTGAGACTTGTTGTTACTGGGCCCGCTCAAGATTTGTTGCCTACTTACTATACTAAACAGGGTCAATAATAACAAAATTTATTGTTAATAATAATAATAAATAGGTTACAGCTCATGCGTCATATTAAGCTATTTAAGCGCTGAATATGACTCAGAGCCTGTTTGCAGGCCTGCAGGAGGATGAGGGGGAGGTGGTGAATGGTGCTGGGACCCCCCGCCAGACAACTCTGGCTGCAGGAGGAGACCCAATCCCTGAGCCAAACCACTGTGTAAAACAGAAACCTCGAGGCACTCACTTCCGTAGGCAATAGACCCCAGGACATCATTGAGCCCACAGCCCGGCTGGAAGTCCCCTCCGTTGGGGTAGATGTCGATGTGGCCCACGGGCATCTGGATGCCGATGCTCAAGCCGAAGGAACGCGTGTAGGTGTGGAGCACGTCCACGAAGTCCGCGTCGTCAGGGGACAGCCTCCTGTGGATGTCTGCCCCTTCGAACAGGGGCCCAGCAGGATCCAGACCTACACAGAAGGGGGAGCCGAGACCACCCATCAGGAGGGCCACATTCAGATTTCCCCTCTTTCACAGCTACAGGGAGAAACACTTTTTACTTGTAACTTTCTGTATTGGAGAGGAAGCAGCATTGGAAAGCACTCGGATGATTCTCAATGATGTTTGAAACTGCAAACATCATTGGGCAGCGTGTTAAGAGTCAGAGAGAGAGACAGACAGACAGACAGAGACAGAGACAGAGACAGAGACAAAGAAGGAAAGTGCCTGCCATAAAGACAGGCAGCAGGGAGGGTTGCAGGAGGGAAACTGGGGACATTGGTGTGGTGGGAAACTTATACTGGTGGAGGGATGGGTGTTGGAACAGTGTATGACTGAAACCCACCATGTACAGCTTTGTAACTCTGTATCTCACAGTGATTCAATTAAAAAAAAAAAAGGAATTCATAGATTCCAGGCTGGAAATAAAAGTGCTTTCCCTGCACATGGCTGACCCAGGTTAGATCCCCAGCAATTATATACAGTCCCCTAAACACCATCAGGAGTGACCCCCTGAGCACAGAGACAGGTGTAAGTCCTGAGTACCACCAGGAGTGATCCCTGAGTACAGATACAGGCATAAGCCCTGAGCACCACAGGGCATGACCCAACCCGCTCCCCCCCCTACACACACACACACACACACACAGAGTCCAAATTCCCCTCTGTAGATTTAAAAGACTCTGGAAGGTCACTCCAACCTTAGGGAAAGGAAACAGGCCAGTGATACGCATCACTAAGAGAGAATTTCCAGGTTACAGAGGCAATACAGTGGGTAGAGTGTTTGTCTTGCATGTGGTTGACCTGGATTTGATCCCCAGCATCCCACAGGGTTCGAGTCCACCAGGGGTGCAGAGCCAGGAGTGAGCACAGCTGGATATGACCCCAAAAAAAAACTATTTAAAAACAAATTTTTAAATAAAGATATTTTCACCATCCTTTAATACTGGAACCACAAAGAAACAGGAAATCGCTAAAAAAGAATACAAAACACACACTATGCAAAGTCTCTGTGCTCCCTGAGATTCTGATTGGTAGATCTGGTGTGGTCTCCAGAAATACACATTGATACCCCTGGGGTTTCTCAAAGTAGGTAGCCTCTGGACGAAATTTTGAAAAGCCACTCAACACTGCTGTATCATTTCTAAAATGGAATCTACAGGTCTGTTGTGGGGTTAGAGCCACACCAGGTCGTCCTTAGGGGCCATTCCCAAGCACGGTACTTGGGAGCTGAGGACGGAGCCCAAGACTCTGCAGGTGAGACACATGTTCCAGTCCTCTGAGCCATCTCCCTGGCCCTCCAGGTATTCGAGTGCACAAAATCCCAGCAAGCACATTGCTGTCGATGTGAATACCAGTTCCTATCACCAAGCCCAAGGAAGAATGGGAAATGTGTTGCCCCAACGCAGAAAGCTCTTTTATTTTTTGCTTTTTTGGTCACAACCGGTGATGCTCAGGGGTTACTCCTCGCTCTGCACTCAGAAATTACTCCTGGTGGTACTCGGGGAGCCATATGGGATGCTGAGAATCGAACCCGGGTCGGCTGTGTGCAAGGCAAACGCCCTATCTGCTGTGCTACCGCTCCTGTCTCCACAGAAAGCTCTTCTGTCTACAGACACAGAGCATACTTGGGAAAAGCTAAGAAAAGACCTTGGGCAGCAAAGGAAGTGGGAGATCATCTGATCTTTACTGGGGGGTGATTTTATTCCCAATGAGCAGATCTCTGTAGAGAAGCTTCCAGCATCTCACAGCGAGGGGTACTGGAAGCATCCCAGAAGCACAGATCATCTCCCACAAGAAAGCATCCTCGGGCTCCAGTGCGCCTAGTATAGAGGCCAAGAAGCCTCCCGGGCAGGAGACACACCAAGGACAGAGTCATGAAAGGTGGAGATGAGACCAGAACTCATTTCCCTAGGTCCCGCCAACAGACCCAGAGCACGGAATGACCCTGAAGAGCTCGCCTGAGGATCAGTCCAGAGCAGAGCTATTGCTAGCATTCCTGGTAAACCTGCAGAATCCATCTCTGTGGAGAAAGGGGAATGGCAGACACACTGGACTTTGCAGAAGTTTCAAAGAAAGCTCGAGGATGGGGCCAAGCGGGAGCCCAGAATGCAACAGAACCCAGAAAGCAGCGTCCTCTGTCCGGAGCCTGCAAGGACCCTGGCACCTGCCCCAGCAGCCTCCCCGGGTCTCTCCCTGTCCCTCTGGAAGATAAAAAAAAATCAAAAGCAGCAGAGGGTCATTCTGTTTTGCAACCAAGAGAGGGGCTCTGCTGGGTGTGAACAAAAGTCTCTAGCAGCCGGTCACTGCCATGGAAACAGGGCTGTGGGGGAGGCATGCTGGCCCCCAGGGGCTTCGCAAAGACCCCCAGGGTGTGCAGACCCAGCCCTCCCCTCCCCCGACTGTCCTGGCCTGACACCCCAGGGCCTACAAAGGATGCACATTTGGCTTGTTTAGTGGAGATGGGGGATTGGATCCCTCCCCAAGTTCCGCCCAGTCCAGCTGTCAAGGTGCTACCACATGCATGCGTGCGTGCCAGCACACGGGAAAACCTCAGAACCTCAGGGCTGGGCATGCTGTCAGGGGACAGGACCCGCTGCCCTCAGCAGCGCCTGGCACTTCTAGCTCTCCAGGAGGCAGCCTGGTTCCGTGACGGAGTCGGGCCTGGAATGTGGCCAGCCTGGGTGCGGGCCGCAGCTCTCGGGATGACTGGACGCGCTGTGTCTGTTCCCGCCTTGACCGTGATGTCAAAGGCCCTCTCTAGGCTGCGTGTGACCTCACACGACATGGGGCAGACTCGAGCTAGTGCAGTTGGGCTTCCCACGACGACAAACAAGCCCAGAGAGCCGCATGGCACAGGTGCCTCTCGCAACACTCCACCCCTTCCCAAGTGTATCTGAATCCCCCAAGAAATGCACAAAGGGAAGGCCCAGGCGAGCCCCAGGACCAGCTCTCTAACCCGAGCAGGACCAAGCTTTCTGCTCCACCTTCCAGCTGTGGGCTCTGTATCCCAGGCCTCCGGGCGTGCCCACAAACAGGGACAAGGGCACACCCCCCTCCATGAGGCATGAACATCAGCATGCCTCTGGGGACCACCACACTCTCTGGGGGGCTGCTGGCCGCTGGAGGGAGACCCCTCCTTTCTGTCATGCTCAGCCCAGACCCTCCACTCCACAGCCGAAGCAGAGGCCTGAGTTAGGCTTCTGACAGGAGGTCCCTGCGCCCTGCAGACAGCAGCAGGGCTGATTAGCATTCTGACCACGAAGTTCCCGGCCCGCCAGCTGCCACCCAGCCTGGCCAGGCAAAAGGCCCCAAAGGCCTGTCTCATCTCAAATTTAGATTGCAGGCAAAGGGGGTTTGTCTGTCCTGGCGGCAGCGAGACAAGGTCCTGCCCTGCACTGGGGGGCAGGGGTGAGGGGGGGGGGCGGTGTGAACACGGCCGGCTGACTTCGAGCGCCAGGCCGCCTGCTGGGGACTAGAAGGAGGGACAAGAACAACAGAGCTCAGAGGGGCTCAGGGCCCATTCGCTCTGGACCACCAATGGGTTAATGAGCTGTCACCTGTGGCCACCCTATCACTGGCCACCACTGGCCACCCGGAAGCAGCTCAAACCTGCAGTCTGATAACCAGAAACAAATTTCTCCAGCTATGAGAGAGAAAGAGAAGGCGGGGAGGGGAGAAGAGAGAGAGAGAGAGAGAGAGAGAGAGAGAGAGAGAGAGATGCAGCAACCAAAGGCAGGGCCTCACACAGGAAAGGCAAAGATTCTCTCACTGAGCCACTTCCCGGACCCCAAAACATATTTTCAAATCTAACAAAAATACTACAGGGAGAGAAAGGACCAACGCTTCATCTAGGCGACTAATTAGATACCCAGCAGGTTGCAAGGGGGATGCTGGGACTGAAATGGAAAAGATACTGGAAGGGGGAAGAGGGCTTGGGGTGGCCGGGTTGGGCTGGAGCCGTCCTCACATGCCAGGGACGGGGACTCTCCCTAGCCAGCATAAAGGGAATCAGTTCCGGGCAACTAATTTATCATTGATTTTTAGCCTAGAGGAAACCTTGTCTGTTAAGGGGCCCAAAAGGGCACGAGGAACTTTTTCTACTTTCCAGAACCATTCGATGATGCTCTTTAGCGCCTGCTAAAGTTGCCGAAGAGCTCGGTTTCATGCTGACAATTGGGGCGCCACCCCCAGAAAGGTCCCTTGATGCAGGTCTGGCCCCGGAGAAGACCAGGGAATAATTGGCTAACGAAGCACTCAGCACAACACCACAGAGGGTGCAGGAGAGTCAGCAGAAATTAGAGGCCAAGTTCAAAGGAGAAGCTGCAACCAGTTTTCCCATAAATCTCCTACAGTGGTGGGGGAACAAGAGTGAGCCCCAAACCCTGCGGGTCAGGGCTCCAGTCCAGTCTGCCCCTAGCCCCACACCCCACCACTGCAGTCATGTAAACTCATCTGTCAGCCCTGTTCCACAGACTCAAGATTAAATCTAGAAAGAGATCAACTAGTTGGAAAAAAAATTAAAAGACGGGGGAAATGGGAGGAAGGGAGGGAGAGAGGGAGGAAGGGAAGGAGGGAGGGAAGGAAGGAGGGAGGATTGGAGAAAGGAAGGAAAAGAGGAAGAGATGTGAGTAAAGAAGGCAGGGGAAAGAAGGAAGGGAGGAGGAAGGGAGGGAAAGAGGGAGACTGGAGAAATGTAGGAAGGGAGAAAGAAGGAAGGAAGGGAGAAAAGGAGGGAGGGAGAAAGGGAGGAAGAGAGGGAGGATTGGAGAAAGGGAGGAAGGAAGGGAGGGAAGGAGGAAGGAAGGGAAAGAGGGAGGGATGGGAGGAAGGTAGGAAGGGGAAAAGGAAGGAAGGGAGGGAGGAAGGAAGGCGGGGAGGAAGGAAAGGAGGAAGGGAGGGAAGGAAAGAGGGAAGGAAGGAGGAAGGAAAGGAGGAAGAAAGAGAAGAAGGAAAAGGAGGGAGGGAGGGAGAGAGGGAAGGAGGGTGAGAGGAAGGGAGGGAGGAAATCAGGAAGGAAGGCAGGGAGGAAGGAAAGGAGAAAAGAGGGAAGGAAAGAAGGAAGGAGGAAGGAAGAAAGGGAAGAAGGGAGGGAGGGAGGGAGGGAGGGAGCTGGGCAGCTCAGCCTGCCGAGGACGAGGTGGGAGCCACTTACCCGTGATCCTGCCCACAGTGCCGTTCACAAAGTTGCCAGCGTAGCCAGCCACGTGAGCGCCAAGACTGTAGCCAATCAAGTGGACATTGCCGAGAGCAAAGCCGTCCTTTCCCTGCGAAAGACCACAGGAGTGTGGGCACCGGGCAGCCCCCCGCGGGAAGAGGTGAAAGGAGCAGGAGGAGAGGCCTGAGCCGGGCCAGAGTCCCTGGTACTCAGCTGGGCATGTGACAGGAAAGGAAGGTCAGGCCTCGGGGATCCTCAAAACGCACAGCACCGAGGGCAGGGTGAGGGGGGCCGCAACTGCCTCCCGGGGCCTCTGCCTGCTTCTCTTTCTGGCGAGATCTGAGCAGGTGGGTGACAGCGTTGGGGTCCGAGCCGAACTCAGTGCCAGCCTCCATGCCCACCCTCGGGGGCTCTAGAGCTGCCTCCTTGCCACACATCCCCTGGGACTCACAAGCACTGCGCCGACCAGGCACACCGCTGAGAGCGTGAGAGCAGCTCAAGGCTTGACTCCACGGTTCAGAGACTGAGTTCTGTGGAACAACTGAGGCAAGCTAGAGAGAGAGTGCAAAGATGAAGGTGCCCGGCTCATATGGCTGTGGCTGCAGGCTGCAACATGGGTTCAAATCCCGGCACCACCTGGGATCACGGAGGGTGGTAACTGAGCACAAGAGCCAGGTGCGGCCCCTGAGTACCACTGGGTGTAAACCCCCCCCCCAAAAAAAAACTGAGGCAGAGGAATAAAGAAATGTTTGAGAATCCTGAGCGAAAGGAAGTGGGGCGGGAGGGTATCTAGCCAGCAATAGAGCACATGGCATCCGTGTGTGAGATTCTGGCTTAGAGTGCAGTTCATGTGAGAGTGTGTGTGTGTGTGTGTGTGTGTGTTGTCACACTCACACTGCCCAGATAATCCTCTTCCTCCTATAATTTGATCTCAGAAAATCGTTAACTTAGAGAAAAAAGACCTCAAGCTCTATTTTCCCTATGGAGCCATGAAGATGCATTTGTTTGAATCCTACCTCACCACCCTCAGGATAGCCGTCCCTCGGGGCCAAGAGCAGGGACAGAGCAAATAGCACAGCAGGTAAGGTGCTGGTCTTGCACGTGGCTGACCCCTGTTTGATCCCCAACACCCCAAAGGGTCCCCCAATCCCCGCCAGGAGTGAGCCCGGAGCACGGCTGGATGTAGTCCCCTCCCCCACGCCCCTGTACCTGCAGCCAGTCAAGCATCCTGGCCAGGCTGTGCCCCACCACCCTGGTGTTGTTCACGGCGTCCGTGTAGAGCTGGTGGGCCAGGGGGAGCCAGTCTACCACCACCACGTTCGCTCCCTTCTCTCTGGTCTGCAGGGCGGACACAAGCTTGTACAGCCAGTTTTCAAACATGCCGCTCATCTGCCAAGAAAGCAAGGCACTTCACCAAACTCTTCCGCCGCAGGTCAGAAACCCTTCCCCAGTTCTAGAATCCACTAGCTGGTCGATTCCAGAACCCCGACAACAGCGGTCCAAAGGCCCCAACATATGTACCTGTATAAAGCCAGCACAAGCCGAAGGACCCCAAACCTGCTTGTTTTCCCCATTCCCCCTTGTTCATTTCATCCCATCAAGCTTTTCCCGTCAAAACCTCCTTAGCAGGCATTTGAGGCCGCTGCTCGTGGCGGTCACAATGAGAATGTGTTGGTGCCTTGCCAGCCTGATGTTAACCTGGGTCCCCGTCACAGACAGGCCAGAGCTTGGACAGTCACAGGAAGGCAGGGGGACCGGTTGCCCTGGTGAATTGCTTCTCTCACTGAGTCGCAGGGAGAAGCTGTCTCCTAGGCAAGCGCAGAGTTAACAAAGGCCCCCTTCCCACAGCCCATCTCTGTCACCCCCGGTGACCCCCGAGCAGGAAAGCTCCATCCACGGAATCGCAAATTAGAACCCAAAACGCATTTTCCCACACCGCCGACTTGCAAATGGCGGCTAGGTCCGGTTGCAAACGGAGCCACAAGTACATTATTAGATAAATAGATTTTCTGTGCCTGGCCTGGGAACCCAACTCCGTTTACAATCTCCCTTCTATGAGCAACTGCTGCTGGAAGTTCCCAAAGACTACAAAAGAACTTTCTGGAATGCGACCCATTGGAAAGTTGCAGGCCGTTTGTATTTGCATTTTGACAGGGGGGCCTTAAAAAGATCCCAAGGCAGGACTCGAGAATCGTAAGGCCGTGCCGGATGGACAGACTGAAGGAGGCGGTTGGAGTCGGCTCTTTCAGTGGATGGAGGGAGGTAGGCGCCTACCCCCTCCCGCCAGGCCCGACCCCGGGCAGCCTGCGATAGACCTAAAGACCCAGAAAGCATGTAAAGGATATGAATTTCGCATCCTCAAAAGGAGGAATGCCCCCTCCCAATTAGCCCAAGCAGAAACCTGCTCCCTTAATAGTGCCATTTTCCTCGTGACTGTCATTCGATGAATGAATAAATCCCTCCCTAGTCAAAGGCTTCTAAAGCGGAGTGTTAAAGGCCTTTTTTGTTGAAGTTTGTCATGGGCCTTTCAATGTGAATTGCTCAGCTAGGGCACATAAAGGGCCCCACTGCCTTTAAGCGGAGCCACCTCTTTGCACACAGGAGGGCACCGTGCCAACCGCAGCCAGCAACCCCGGCCAGCTGGTTCCGCAGAGACTCGGAGCCAGTCAAGTTGCTGGAGTGCGGCTCAGCTCTGGCGGAGGGATGGCCCCCGCCAGGCAGTGGTTGACCAAGGTAATTAAGTGTAATTAGAGGGGCCTTAAGAGCCCGCGGAGCTGGGCCCGGGAGCTCCGGAGAGCCCCATTCTGAAAGCATGCTGTGTGCCCGCGTGAAGTACCACCCTGCTGGGGTCCAGCCTGGCCCCTCCGCCGAGCGCCCGTTCCACCCTTCACAGCTGTCTGAAACACAAGCCGCCCCCAAGGAGAGAGTGGAGAGAGTGGGAGACGTGGGAGAGCTTCCGGATGATATTCCAGGCGCCCAGACAAAGGAAACCAGCTCGGGTGGGAAGCAGGTGGGCTCGGCCTCCCTCACCGTCCAGCCGTGAAGGATGAAAAAGGTTTTGGCGGTCGTGTTGAAGCCACAGGTGGCCAAGGGGTGGTCGTGGCCGAGGGTGAGGTAGCAGCCTTCGTGTTCTGGGTCCGTGGAGGTGCGGAGGTTAAACCTCACAGCCGGCTCCGCTGCGGGTCTGAGAAACCCATCTGGGGAGAAAGAACAGAGGTGGGGGGTCTTGGAAAGGTACAGCCCGGAGCCAATGACTCTAATCCTCTGCGTTTCTGGGTTTGTTTTAAATTTTTAAACTTTAATTTGGGGGTCATTCCTTGGCGGTGCTCAGGGCTTACTCCTGGCTCTGCACTCAGGGATCACTCCTGGGGTCATACGGGGTGCTGGGATTGAACCCGGGCCAGCTGTGTGCAAGGCAAGTACCCTTCCCACTGTACTATCTCCCCAGCCTCACCTTCTTGGCAAACATCACTCTTATATCTATGAGGTAAGGTAAAGGTAAAGGTAAAGGCCCTCCCGTTGATCGTCGATTTGCTCGAGCGGGCCCAGTAACGTCTCCATTGGAGACTTTGTTGTTACTGTGTCTGGCATATCGAATACTCTCGGTAGCTTGCCGGGCTCTCCGAGAGGGGCGGAGGAATCGAACTCGGGTCGGCCATGTTGGCCGCTTGTAAGGTGAATGCCCTACCACTGTGCTATCACTCCTATAATTACTCACATTTGGGGGTGGGATAAAGACTTGATAGAGCTTATTTGGGTTGGTTTTTTTTTTTTTTTTTTTTTTTTTTTTGCTGCCAGATAAGATCCCGTGGGGGGAAACCTAGTCTAGGTGCCAAATAAGTCTCCCAAACAGAGCTTTCCATTTGGAGAGACTTGGGACTTGGGAACTGGAGGTAAGAGGCTGTCACCCCAACTATGCGCGGGTTCCCCAAGTACTCCCATTGCCCGAGCAGCACTTGCTCCAAAGGCCTCGGCCGTCTGTCTGCCGGGCTCAGCCCTAGTTCAATACAGAAAGTTTTGAAGCATGGAGAAACTTCTAGGAGCAGGAGACCCTTTCCTTCTGCACCCACCACGCACACACGGTGAAACCCTAGCCAATGGGCACAAAGACTGCAGTTCTGGGCACAATCATTTATTTTCACATCATCACCGAGGAGCCCCACCAAAACAGTCCTTCTGCATCTCACAGACGCTCCCTGGAACAGGGGCCAGGAAAAAAAGAGGAACTCCAGCTGTCACTTGGAAAATCCTGGGCCACCTGGAAACCCAGAGCAGAGCCGCGAACGGCCCTCCCAGGAACCTTCCCTCACCCTTGAGCTCAGAAGCCCGTGGTCTCACAGCCACAGACCAACCCGGCGGGGAGGGGGCCGGAAGGGGCAGATGTCGGCACCAGATGCAAAAAGGATAAAGTTCCAGAAAATGCAACTAAATACACGTGAGCAGAACTTTGTGGGTGAAGTCAGGAACAAAAGCCCTAGCGGACAGAAATTTGAACCAGGCCCTCCTGGTAGGCCGCCGCCACACCACCCACACAGGACAGGACAGTTAAGGAGAAAAGGGAAGGGAATATCGCGGGGCCGGCGGGGCCGGCAGGGCAGACAGGGGCATGAAGGCTCAGCTTAGCGCCTGGTCTTCTGATCCTCACTTCCCTCGCTTCCTACCCACCACCAGCAACACAACACAGCCAGCCCCAACCCTGGGTCTCTAGGATCACTCTTCTCACGGTGGTTCCTGGTGGGCTCTCCACTTCCTTAGAGATCAGCTTCTCACGGTGAAGCCTGACAGTATATTACAACTGCATCATCTCCTGCCAACCTTCCTCTGTGGCTTCATTATTTTTTTTTCTCCCTAACCCTGAAGAGCACTTATATGGTTTTGGGGGTTTGAGTAGGGGAGTTTCTTTGGGGGGCACCTGATGTGGTCAGGAGTGATCTCTAGTAGTGTTGAGGGACCATATGGGGTGCCAGGGATTAGACCAGAGTCAGCTGCACGCAACACAAACTACCCCTCTGCACTAGCCCCTGTGCTAGCTCTCATGCCCTGCCTTTTTTTTTTTTTAAGTTGTGGGATCTACTCATCACTGAAAAGTGAGCCCCAGATGGCATCTGCTTTACTTGCCACTCTCCCCAACACTTGGCCCTGGGTGAGCAGGCAAGCAATGCTTTTGTGAATGCAAGAAATGGCCCACGAATACTCAGCATGGCAGAACGCAAAAGCCTGGATGGCGCATTCACATTTAACAAGGTCTGCAGGAGCCATCCATGCAGGGCAGCCTGCCCGTTTGCACTGGAGTTGAGAGGACCGTGATTAACTCTCCGGAAGCGTGTTGCACAGGTGAAGTTACATCAAATGTTCCCGTTAGTCCATAGTCCACCTCCCATTTAAGTGCCAACATTGCTCGCTCCAACCTCAGCAGAATGAGAGATGAAATCAGTGGCTTCCCCGACTCCCCACTGCCTCCCTACCTGACACAGGACTCCAGCTGCGTGGCCCTACCCTTACTCCAAGCTTCTGCCAGCCAAAGGAAGCCAGAGAGAGAGAAGTCAGAAGGAAGAATCGGCAACCTCAGGAAGGAGGGAGGTGAGGAGAGGTGGCAGGCCACCTGGGGATATTAAACCCTGCAGCTTCTCGGCCTCCCTAGCTGCGGGGTTGCCGGGGTCCAAGCAGAGCCAGCTACCCACCGACGCTCGCAAGGCCAGGCGAACGGGCTGCTTCCAACAACCTTCCAGCCTGGCCAGCCTCCAGGTACAAAGCCAAGGTGGACGGGAGGACGGGCCAGCGGGCGGGCAGTCAGCTCGGCTGGCTGGACAGCCCCAGATTCTGAGAACTCTATCCTGAGAGAGGGTTGCGCGCAGGGGAACGGGGTTGGGACGCCCCTTCGGAGAAGCTGCAAAGCGGACGCAAGGGACAGCTCGGCGGCCACGCGGGGCGATTCCGCGGGAACGGTGGGAGCGCGGAGGTACGCGCGAAGGGTGGGCAAGACACCAGGGGCCGGGGCACAGAGGGGCTGGGGGCTTGCGGCGGGGGCCCAGGGCCAGTCACGTTACCTTGCAGCCGTTCCTCGGGACCCAGGGGCGCGGGGCCTGCGGCGGCAACGCAACAATAGGCGCTCCAGAGGCTGAGCAGAGGAACGCAGCTCCTCATCTTCCCGCGCATACCCCCAGCGCCGAGCTCTGCGAAGAGGAAAAGTTTCACCGCCGCGCAAAACCACACAAACTTTTCATTTAAAAAAAAAAAGTTAAAACTTCTCCGAGTTTGCACCCAGGTCCGAGCCAATGAGACTCCCCAAGTGTAGCCGCTTTCTCAGCCCGCGCGCGCGGGGCGCTCACACGCTCCAGGTGCAGGTGAAAAAGGGGAAAAAAAGCAGATAACTAAAAAAAGTTCAGCGGGGTGTGTCGGGGCCAGGGGCCAGTGGGCGTGATCCCCGGGGTGCCCTCGCCCGTGCCAACCTCCGGGGAAACCGGGGCTCGCCACTGTCACCCCGCGAGCTCCCGGCGAGGTAGTTTTTTGCAGGAGTCATCTGACCCATCGCCAGATGGTGATTTGCATAATTTATTCCCGTCCCCGGGCTCTGATTGGTCACACCTTCGCTGACGCCTCCCAAGACGCCCCAAAGTTTGAATGAAAGAGCCGCACACCCACCGCGTGGATGCCCCGCACGCGCGCGCCCCGGCTCGCTCCTGCGCGCGCGCCGCCCCAGGCTCCGCATCCTGTGCCAGACCCCCCTCGCGGGGCTCCCCAGACTGCCGGGTCGCACCTGCCACCTCCAGGGTACGGGGTGTAGCCCCAAGACCGTGCGCCCGCTGGAGTCCGAACCTCTGTCCCGGTGCGCAAAGCCGTCCCCGGCCGCGCGCTCTTCTCCTCTCCCACTCCCCCAGTCCAGCGACGCCTTGGCAGGTGCGGACCCCACGGGAGTCCCGCAGAGCCCAGCGCCTCGGGAGAACACACAGACCCTCAACTAGTTGCCACAGTCGGGGCCAGGCCCGCAGCCTCTCCGCGTGGTCCGCAGTGGGGCCGGTTCTGCCTCTCGGACAAAGGCACAGGAGTCCAGATCCAGGCGCCGGCCACGTGGTACGCGCCTCCTTACCTGGGGAGGGGACGCAGGATCATTCGGAGAGCCCAAAGGCACCAGGGGGCAGCGCTTGGGGACCGGGAGGGGGTGTCTAGGATCTCAGCATGGCCAACCCCGAGACTGGGCGGACTTGAGGAACCTGTTGCGTAGAATGAAGCAATTGCTGCCCGTCCCCCAGCACCCCTCCGCCCGCCCCGTTCCTGGCCGTTGTACGCGCGCGCTCCTGCTCCCGCCTCCGGGGGTCTCCAGGCGGGGAGGTGAACACCAGGAGGCGCGGGGGCATCTTGCCCAGACCGCTCTGGGGGCCAGTTTAAGGGATGTGGCCGCTCCCCCTCCCTCTAGCCTACCCGATCGGTCCTGCTGTGCCTCTGAGTAACCCGGGGTGGTGGCCCCGCTCCTGTCGAACTGCCCCGGGACCCTCAACCCTGGATGCGCGCCTCCCACCCCCCACACACACACACCACGGCCTGGGAGGTGTGTGTGATTAACCCCTTCGATGGATCAATCAACTTCTTTCTTTCTTTCTTTCTTTGTTTCTTTCTTTCTTTTTTTTGCTTTTTGGGTCACACCTGGCGTTGCACAGGGGTTCCTCCTGGCACTGCACTCAGGAGTTACTCCTGGCAGTGCTCAGGGGACGATATGGAATTCTGGGAATCGAACCCGGGTCAGCCACTCGCAAGGCAAACGCCCTACCCGCTGTGCTATCACTCCAGCCCCTCAATCGACTTCTGATCTCTGCAAGTAGTTACTTGTGTTACTCCAGTAATTTCGGTCCCGCAGCATCCCTCTCTGCTATAATTCATTAGCAAGAGCAGGCTGATTTTATTTGTGAGAGCAAACTCCATGCATCTTAATTTTTTTTTTCTTTTCTGAGTCACCGGGCCATGCTCAGGGGTGCATTGAAGACCATATGGGATGCCAGAGATGGAATCCGGGTCTGCTGCATGCAAGGCAAGAGCCCTACCCACTGTACTATGGCTCTGGCCTGTCCATGCACTTCACGGACTGGAAAAATCACACACGCGCACACACACACACACACACACACACACACACATACACACCGGTATGTGTGTTCTTCTCACGCTTCTCCAGCATCAAACTACAAACCTAACACAGGTCTTGTTTACATTTTACAGATGGGGAAACTGAGTAATGGTTTCAGGCCTGAAAGAAACGCTGGCAACCCCGTCCCACTCCCCTGCTCCAGATTTGACTAGGCAAGAGTATCTGATACTCAAGTATTTCAAGAGTGAGAACTTTTTTTTTTCTTTTTGGGTCACACCCAGCCAATGCTCAGGGGTTACTCCTGGCTCTGCACTCAGGAATCACTCCTGGCCTCCTGGCGGTGCTTGGAGGACCATATGGGATGCTGGGAATCAAACCCAGGTCGGCCATGTGCAAGGCAAATGCCCTACCCGCTGTGCTATTGCTCCAGCCCCCCAAGAGTGAGAACTCTTGAGAACCCCATCTGTAAGCCTTCAGTGGCCCCCTCAGTGGGAATGAAAACTCTGAATTGCCCAAAGCTATAACCTCCTGAACCTTAATTGGGGCTTGTGGCAGGCATTTGTCTTGGGGAAGGGGGGTCTCTGTCACAGATAAGATTCCATGGAAGCTCGCTGCCACAGCAGAGTTGGTTACGCTGCCAAAAAGCGCTTCAAGAAATCATTGCCAAGGCTGGGAAACCATGCCGTTTTATTGTTGGTTGGTTAGAGTGCCCTCCTGTGTCGCTCTGTTAAAATACCATGTGGGAACCTGGGTATAATGATGATGTGGGGGAGTGAGCCAGAGGCCCAAATCACAGACTCAGCAACTCTGAGAACACAGATCCAATGATGACCACCGAACTATATTAGGTTCCTGTCAAGGGGACAAGCTGGGGGCAGGAGAGAACTGGGGGGAAGATGTAGACACTGGTGGTGGGATTGGTTATAGGGCACTAAATGTCCAATTATTATAACAATATTTATAATAATTATTTATTATGTAATTAAAAATTTATTCTAAAATCTCATTATTAATAACCTTGTAAATCACACTTCTTAATTGAATAAAAATAAATTAAATTAAGAATATTTAAATATCATGTAAGGGACTGGGGAGATACTACAGAAGACAGATACAGATAACACAGATAGGACAAAGACACTTGACTTCCATAGCTCCTGACCAGAGTTCTATCCATGATCTGGTCCCCCCCTGCCAGGAGTAATCCCTGAGCACAGAACCAGGAGTAATTCCTGAGCACTGCAGAATGTGGACTCCAAAAAAAAAAGCTGGGATTATGACCCCAAAACAAAGTAAATAAATATAAAAAGTCTCTCCGCTCCCTGATTGCAAATCTTCTCTTGTTTCTCCTTGAACCCCACCACCATCCATAATCCCTCCCCGCAAGGTCACCGATGACCTCTACAGAGTGAGGCCGTTGCCAATCTCCTACCCCAGACTCACCCATTATGGGTGCCATAAGTTTTCCCTCCTCCCGAGCACTCAATGCTCCCCTCTTACTGGGCTCCCATCTGTAGATCTTCTCCTTTGACTTATGTAAAACCACTCCCGTGGGAGGCTGGAGAGTACAGTGGGTAAGACATATGTTTTGCATGAGGCCAACCCAGGTTCTTTCCCTGGTACCCCAGATGGTCGCCCCCCAGGAGAGGTCCCTCAGTGTAGAGCTGGAAGTAACCTCAGAGCACTGCTGAGTGTGTCTCAAGCAAATAAAAAAGCACTCCCTTGAAATAATCTAAAGGGCCAGAGTGATAGTACAGCGGGTAGGGCGTTTGCCTCGCACACAGCCGACCAGGGTTCAATACCCAGCATCCCATATGGTCCCCCAAGCACCGCTTGGAATGATTCCTGAGCTCAGAACCAGGAAAACCCCCTGAGCGTCGCTGGGTGTGACCCAAAAAAGAAAAAAAGGAAAAAGAAACAATCTAAATACCCACCCGCTGACAAATAAATTCATAAGATGTGATGTCGGCTTAGGCCGGAACACTATTTGGCTGCATAAAAGATGAGCTGCCATTTGCAACAACTCATAGACCTGAAGGGCATCAGGCTTAGTGAAGTAAATTAGAATGTAAAAGTCAAGCTATGAGTTCACTCTTAGATGATGTAGAGAGAGATCAAAATAAAAGATGAATTAAAAAGGCAAAAAAGTAACTTTTGGACTGTGAGAATCATTGCTGGTAATCAGAAGGAAAGGGATGGGGACAAAGTAAGTTGGAATAAAGGGGTTAATTATATATTTAAAGATAGACTTGTATATTTAGTGATGAACTTACATAATACGTAATCATGTTGATGTTGAATGACATATATCTGAAGCATCATCTGATGCAATGTTAGTTCAATTAGATAAATGAGATCATTCCTTTAATAATTTCATCTACTCTCCTTGCTTTTGCCTCGTTGCCCCTGAGAAGGCAAGGTGGGTTATAAACTGCTCTACTGGAGCCGTATGAGGAAATCTGGCCAGGGACCAGCCTTTGCAGCGTCTGCTCACACCAGCAGTTGCCTGACCTGGAAACACAGCCTCAATGAACATGAAGGACATCGGCTTCCTCACCTTGGACTGAATGAACTTCTGGAACCGGTCACCAGAGCCATCTACCTGACAGCAGAAAAAAATGCTAGCTCTTCATACGTAAAATAAAATGACTTAATTACCAACCATCACCATTATCATCTCATCTACTCCCATGCCTTCTAACTTCCACGTAATTCTCAAATGTGTACTCCAATCTGGACCTTCTCCCTGAATTGCACACTTGCTTACAATCTTAGATGAGCCAAAGATTTTTTTTTTTTTTGGCCACACCTGGCAGTGCTCAGGGCTCTCCTGACAGGCCTCAAGGAACCTTAGTAGGTGCTAGGGATGGAACCCAGCATGCAACGCAAGAGCCCTACCTGCTATACTATCTCTCCAATCCAGGCCAAAAAAAAACATTTTTTCTGTTTTTTGGGATCACACCTGGTGATGCTCTGGGGTTACTCCTGACTCTACACTCAGGAATCACTCCTGGCAGAGCTTGGGGGACCATATGGGATGTCAAGGATCAAACCCAGGTCAGCCACATGCAAGGC